AAGTTTCTGTTTTCTAGGTGCTTAAGAGCTCTGAATGGTCTTCCCTGGTGTCTCAGAGGTTAAAGCGTCTGCCTGCAATGCGGCAGACCTGGGTTTGATCCCTGGGTCGGGAAGAACCCCTGGAGAAAGAAATGGCAACCCACTCCAGTACTCTTGCCTGGAGAATCCCCATGGATGGAGGAGCCTGGTGGGCTACAGTCCATGAGGTCACAAAGAGTCGGACATGACTGAGCTCTCTCTCTCTCTGAAGAGCTCTGAATAGAAGAGAAAAGAAAATTTTCAGGTAGGTAAGCCAGGGGATATTGGAGGACTAAAGAAACAAAAAAAATTTTTTAATGAAGATGTCAGAATTGTGCCTGTGTATCTGTGATACAAAAAGACAGTCTTACAGAAAGAATCTAGACTGTACAAATGCATTAATTCTCCACACATTCATCAGTACCACAACAAAGCTGGAGGTTTTTCCTTTGATAAATGATCAATACTTCATACGACATTACCCTAGCCACCCTGCTGTTGCTAGTTAAAAGTGTGAATTTCAACTAAGCAGTAAATCTTTATGGTGTTATATCTTGAACAGTTAACTTCTCACTTAATCGCCTACAATTCTGAACACTATTATTCTGCAGAATCGTTTTCTTTAAGCTCACTCAATAGGAAAAATATTCTTACTGGACCAGTAGAGAAATATCAATATTTTAATCCAAATGAAACACTAAATATTGAATAACAGTTTTGTTTGGGTTTTTAATGATATGCATATGTACAGAATTATTTTACTTCTATGGCATAAGTGAAGAGGCAATCAAATGTATTAATACATGCTGCTGTTGTTCAGTTGCCCAGTCGTGTCTGCCTCTTTGCGACCTCATGGGCTACACGATCCCTGCCTCTGTCCCTCACCATCTCCCGGAGTTTGCCCAAGCTCATGTTCATCGCATCAGCGATGCCACCCAGCCATTTCATCCTCTGATGCCTTCTCCTTTTGCCCTCAATCTTTCCCAGCATCAGGGATTTTTCCTGTGAGTCAACAGTTTGCATCAGATGACCAAAATACTGAAGCTATAGCTTCATCATCAGTCCTTCCAGTGAATATTTAGGGTTGATCTCCCTAAAGATTAACTAGTTCGATCTTCTTGCAGTCCAAGGGACTTTTAGGAGCCTTCTCCAGCACCACAGTTCAAAGGCATCAATTCTCTGGTGCTCTGCCTTCTTTATGGTCCAGCTCTCACAACCGTACGTGACCACTGGGAAGACCATGGCCTCGATTATATAAACCTTTGTTGGTAGAGTAATGTCTCTGCTTTTCAACACACTGTCTAGGTTTGTCATTGTTTTCCTGCCAAGAAGCAACCGTCTTCTGATTTCACAGCTGCAGTCGCCACCTGCAGTGATCTTGGAGCCCAAGAAGAGGAAATCGGTCACCACTTCCACCTTTCCCCTTCTATGTGTCAGGCAGCAATGGGGCCGGATGCCATGATCTTACTCTTATTTTTTGTAATGTTTAGCTTTAAGCCAGCTCTTTCACTCTCCTCCCTCACCCTCATCAAGACGCTCTTTAGTTCCTCTTTGCTTTCTGCCATTAGAGTGGTATCATCCATATATCTGAGGTTGTGGTTGTTTCCCCCGCCTATCTTGATTCCAGATTGTAACTCATCCAGCCCTGCATTTCTCATGATGTGCTCAGCATATAGGTTAAACAAACAGGGTGACAGCAGACAGCCCTGTCGTACTCCTTTCTCGACCTTAAACCAATCAGTTGTTCCATACAGGCTTCTAACTGTTGCTTTTTGACCCGCACACAGGTTTCTCAAGGGACAGGTAAGATGGTCTGGTATTCCCATCTCTCTAAGAGCTTTCCAAGATACATGGACTGAGTTAAAAGTCCACAGACTTGATTGTACATGTCTAGCTCCTATTTCCTATTTTTTAAAATTCTTTCCCACATATATATTCCTAGAAAGTCTTCAATCACACAAACCACATAAGCATCCATAATACCAATCCTACTCAACTCAGTGGGAAAATTCTCATTTCCTATGTCACTTCAAATGCCTCTATACCTTTAAAAAAAAAAAAAAGACAGTTTTAAAAAGTATTGGTTCATGTCTGGAAAAGTTCAGCTAATAGAAGACACATTTAAAGGATCTGTGAGGCTTCTTGATGATTTTAATATTTTAACAGAAAATATAGACCATTTAATAGGCATCATTTCCTTATATAGAATTTTTTAAAAAATTAAATTTATGAGGCCCTAAAGTCAAATTAATACAACTTCAAAGATATAAATATAAAATATTTTAACAATTAGACTCATTATTGGAATAAAATACAGTTTTTTTCTTTTCAGAAATTTAGAAGAATGTCTTTTCCCTGAAAGTAAATGCAGTTTTTCCTGTGTCAGCAAAATTCTACCATTATAAGTGCTACTTTTCTCAATTATTTGGAATGAATATATTTTCAATCATTTAAAACCATTTAAGCAATTGCCTTGAGGAACTGTGAATTACTTCATTAGAATGCCTGTGTGATACTAATAAAAATAGACATTTTATTTTAAATGAATTATGTATCAAGCCACTATGGGCCAACTATCATGTTGTAAATATTTTATTATTAGATGCTCAGGTACAGAATAAGTTAAACATGCCTGAATATGCACTGCTTATGCACTTAAAGCACCGCTCCTTACAATATTTTCAGCACTGCAATGTAAGATAAAGAATTTGAAATCAAGTGCACAGTTTGTTAGCAGCTTCTTGAGCTAATGATCGGTTAGCCAGGAATATACATCTGTTTCACTCCAAAGTATCTGGCTTTTCATTGGACTATAGTGAATTCTCCCAGCATAATTGTTGTTATTCTTCAAACCGGTTCTTAAAAATGAAATCATAATTTTATATTACAGAAAATACACCTATTACAATAATTCAAAAGATCATATTGTTTAATACTAGGTTTTGTATTTCCTTGTGGAAAATAGGATGTTATTTATTATATTTTCTTTCTTTGAAAATTAATGTTATTTTAAATTTAACCCAATCTAGTTCATTCTATCCATAATGTATTTGAACCCTGCATGATCTAATAATGCAAAGATATTACACTAATCCAGCTAACTACATCTTCTAATGGACTAACAAAGCTTAACTTGATGGCTGGGCTTAACTCATCAAGGAGGAATTCATAGTTTTACTAATGGATTAGTTGTCATTAAACAATGCATACTTGAATTTTAAACATTCTATTGTGGTAAAAAAGGAAAATGTTTGCCTTGATTATAATGATTATGGAGATGCTGATTTATGAATCTTATAAATCTAGAATTTGTAATTCTGTGAATATTTTTAAAACACAATTTGAAGTATGAATTGTTTCCTAGAAAGAAACACATGCTTCCTGTATCAAGTAGCCATATTTTTAGCTGTTGAGCTTTTTTTTCTCTGCCCAGAGAATTTCATTGACATGAATTATATAATAATAAAAACATTAATATTCAATGAATGAGAATTTTTCAACATATACTTTTACCCTAACAAAGAAAATTTCCTTGTGTAATTATTAAAATACATTCATGAAAAATATATTCTTTTTTTTTCAAGCTATACTTTTTTATTTGAGCAGATTTTATGATTGAGCAGATTTTAAAAAGCTTCATAACAACTTCTTATATTGTTTTGGTAAAATGCTTCAAATCCTCTTTTAAAATAATAGTTTTTTTTTTTATTTTTTTCCATTTATTTTTATTAGATGGAGGCTAATTACAATATTGTTGTGGTTTTTGCCATACACTGACATGAATCAGCCATGGATTTACATGTGTTCCCCATCCTGAACCGCCTCCCACCTCCCTCCCCATCCCATCCCTCTGGGTCATCCCAGTGCTAAAGAAACAAACATTGTCAACATTCTTGTTTCAATATTCTTGTTGCAGGCACTGTGTTAGGTACTAGAGACCTAAGTCAAAACTTGGTTTGTAGGTTATAAGAAAGAACACTGAAGTCTAATGAAAATTTGTAAGAATGTCCCCACCCCCTAAATATATGTCAGTTCAAAGAGATTTCTGAACCATAAATTTTTTCATCGATCTAGAAGTAGGAAAAGACTAATGGGGTCTTTAACACAGCTTTTTCCAAATGTGTTCCATGGAACACTATTGCAGAAGACAGTAGTTTCATGAAATAAATGAATGCTTCTTATGGTCAAACAATCATGGTGCAAAATCAATGGTGGAGAAAACTGCTGGTGGTTTAGCATGAATCAAGGGAGTGGGTGCGTGTAAAGTAAAATGTCTGTTTGTAAAATGTCTGTTTGAAGAAAACCTCTTGTGGAGTTGTTTGAGTGGTAGCTGAACTAGCTGAGCTTTTTCATTATTTTTGCATATCAGAATAATTGCAAGGATTAGAAAACTGATAGATATGTTGCAATGGAGTTGTAAGAATCTGGTTTCTATAAAAGTAAAGATATCATACAAAAACAATAACTTATGTAGTTGTATCGGATTGGGAGACCAAGGAAAGGATAAGAGACAAAAGAGAAGCAGAAAAATTTTACAGATTAGAAAGGTGATAATGGAAACCACCCCAATCCACACACACACACACAAAAGATATGGTAGAAGCTACACCACCAATGTCAAACAAGGTTAAGTTTCAAGTGGAAACAATGGAATTAAGTATTTAAAAAAACAGCAGAATTTGCTTAATGCATGTCTCATGACTTGAATATTATAGAATCTTCTAAATGACTTATTATAGAAAACAAAATTCAATTTAGAGTATTTATACAGTACACTGTAAAGGTTTAATCTTTAATCAAAAGCCACATGAAAAATTACTATTGTGTAATGACTCATACATACTCTTGTTATAAAATGTTATAAAAGGCCTCATATTTGGTGATTCTAAAAACAAATTATTTATTGAGCTTAAGATTATAAATTAGCAAATTACTTGGGCATTCTAAAAAAATAAAATAAAATAATAAAACTATGCACTTACCATCATGATTAGGATTTCCTAGTGTCCATGGCTCATCTGAGTCAAAATGAGTATCTCCCCCAATTCCTGGTCCAGGGAAATAGGCGTGTGCCAAAAACCCTCCCTCTCCATCAAAAGGAGAACTGTCTCCATGAAAGCCAGATGCAAAAATGATGGTTATATCCACATCACGTTTGCCATTTTCTAATTCACTGTAGGGAACTTCCTCAAATGTCAGAGGAGTGACATTCTGCCACACGTCAAAGGCACGACGAATAGCTTTACGGGTTTCAGGGTCTCCCACTTTTGGAGTTACGTTCTTTATACTGAAATTTAGAAAAAAAATGATAATCAGTATGACTTTATTATATATAACCTGACCTATTACACATTGACTTTTTACATATTTTCATCACTTCAGCTGAGTAAAGAAATTAGAAAATGTCTCTTAGTAAGTAGGAAAGAAACTAATTCTTTCTCTCCCTATAGCTAAATTTCCCTATGCTGGGTCATTAAATTCTCAGCAGTATAGTAATCATCTACCAAGGCTATAAGAGATCTTTTCTGCAGAATGGTTAACACTGGGGTAGTTAGATCAATCATCACTTTGTCTCCTGAACAATAATAGAAAAGTGGCTTTGCCAAATGATCAAACAGGTACAGTAGTTTTAAGCTGAAATAAAAAATTCAATTTATGTATGGTAATAATTACTTTTAGGGGCACACTATTGTGTACACACGTTACTTCCAAACAATGTCTTTATGCTCATATCATGAATAATTCAGTGAACACAAAGTTATTTCTGTTTTTAAATAAAAGGTCAGTTAACTACAGTTTCTGATGTCAACTCTTCTCTTATATATTTAATTATTGATAGTCAAAGCCATGTGAGTGAATAGCTCTTTAATACAAATATTTAACAGTTATATGAATTTAAAGAGGTAACTTGGACACTAACTTATTTTCTTGAGGCTAATAACATATAGGAAAAATTATAAATTTTTTTACTATTTAGCACTGATCAGATATTTCTCTTTTATCACTTATTTTACTATTTTCTAAATAGAACACAAACTAAACAAATATATATGTACATACTTAAATATTTTATATTGTGGTAGTATAAGTTCATACATCTTTGCAAAAAGTAAAGAGTAAATTTCACACGGGTTATAAATAAGTTTCAGACCATTTCAACCAATAATTTTATACTAATGAATCCATGAGTTTCACTAAGGTAATATCTTAATGCATAGTGAAAGTGAAAGTGAAGTCGCTCAGTCGTGTCCGACTCTTTGCGACCCCATGGACTGTAGCCCACCAGGCTCCTCCGTCCATGGGATTCTCCAGGCAAGAGTACTGGAGTGGGTTGCCATTTCCTTCTCCAGGGGATCTTCCCGACCCGGGGATCGAACCCAGGTCTCCCACATTGCGGGCAGATGCTTTAACCTCTGAGCCACCAGGGAAGCCCGTAGGAGGGTATAATATTCTGGTGAATATTATTATTTTTTATTGTATGGAGGCCAAATGATGTAAAAATTATGATGTCTCTATTACATGCCATAATATATACAGGATTTGAAATTTTAAATAGCAAAAATGACTTTGCTATTTTCAACTATTTAACTATATGGAAAAATATTCAGGATAATTTCTGGTGGAAAAATAATATGCAGATTGTATTTTAACTCATCTGTAACTATATCAAGATAATTACAAACATTAGGCAGGAAATTAAGCATTTACAAAAAACATTTAATTGAGCATTTACTGTGAGCCAGGTGAGTATCTCACACCTATCATAGAAACAAAGGATCTGAGACTTAGATGAATTTAGAGAAAATTTAGAATGGTAGAGCTAGTTTTTTAACACAAATATCATGACTCAAGAATCAATTATATTAAACTCTAGACTATACAAATAAAACAAGGTTTACACTATTTTCTAATCCATATTATAGACCAGACTTATAATGAATATTTGATGATAAATATCATCTATTATATACAAGGAAAATAAGGGGGCAAACCAAGTGAAATTATCTATTTTTATTGAAGTCAAGTTACAATGTTCTATCAGCTGCAAGTGAACAGCAATGTGAATCAGTTACACAGATACATACGTTCATGCTTTTTTAGGGTCTTTTCCCATATAGCCAGACACAGAGTACTGAAAAAAGTTCCCTGTGATACACAGTGAGTTCTTAGTCATCTATTGTATATATAACAGTATGTATATCTGAGTCCCTATCTCCCTATTTACCCTCTGCCACTTAATCCCTAGTTGGTTTTCTACATCAGTGATTGTACTTCTGTATTGTAAATAAGTTCATTTTTACCTTTTTTTTTTTTAGATTTTACACATAAGAAATATCATATATTTGTCTTTCTCTGTCTGACTTATTTCACTCAGTATGACAAAGTTTAGGTCCATCCATTTTGCTGCCAATGGCATTCTTTTGTTCTTTTTATAGCTAAGTAATATTCCATTGTATATATGTATCACTTCTTTGTACATTTCTCTGTTGATAGACACTGAGCTGAGCTTGTTTCCATGTCTTGACTATTGTAAACAGTGCTACAATGAGCACTGGGGTGCATAGATCTTTTTGAATTGTGGTTTTTCTCAGGGTATATGCCTAGGAATGGGACTGCTAGGTCACATGTTAGTTCCATTTTTACTTTTTAAAGAACCATCATATTATCCTCTGATGCTAAATTCCGATGCTGTAAAGAACAATACTGTATAGGAACCTTGAATGTTAGGTCTATGAATCGAGGTAAATTGGAAGTAGTCAAACAGGAAATGGTTAAGAGTGAACATTAACATTTTAGGAATTGATGAACTAAAATGGAGTGGAATGGGTGAATTTGACTCAGATGACCATTATATCTACTACTGTGGGCAGGAATCCCTTAGAAGAAATGGAGTAGCCATCATAGTCAACAAAAGACTCTGAAATTCAGTACTTGGATGCAAACTCAAAAATGACAGGATGATCTCTGTTTGTTTCCAAGGCAAACCATTCAATATCATGGTAATCCAAGTCTATGCCCCAATCAGTAATGCTGAAGAAACTGAAGTTGAGTGGGTCTATGAAGATCTACAATACCTTCTAGCACTAACACCCCAAAAAGATGTCCTTTTCAGTATAGGGGACCGGAATGCAAAAGTAGGAAGTCAAGAGATACATGGAGTAACAGGCAAATTTGGCTTTGGAGTACAAAATGAAGCAGGGCAAAAGCTAATAGAGTTTTGCCAAGAGAACGCACAGGTCATAGGAAACACCCTCTTCCAACAACACAAGAGAAGACTCTACACATGGACATCACCAGATGGTCAACACCGAATTCAGATTGATTACATTCTTTGCGGCCAAAGATGGAGAAGCTCTGTACGGTCAGCAAAAACAAGATTAGGAGCTGACTGTGGTTCACATCATGAACTCCTTATTGCCAAATTCAGACTTAAATCGAAGAAAGTAGGGAAAACCACTAGACTATTCAGGTATGACCTAAATCAAATCCCTTATGATTATACAGTGGAAGTGACAAACAGATTCAAGGGATTAGATCTAATAGACAGAGTGCCTGATGAACTATGGATGGAGGTTCATGACATTGTACAGGAGACAGGGATCAAAACCATCCAAAAGAAAAAGAAATGCAAAAAGGCAAAATGGTTGTCTGAGGAGGCCTTACAAATAGCTAAGGAAAGAAGAGAAGCTAAAGGCAAAGGAGAAAAGGAAAGATATACCCATTTGAATGCAGAGTTCCAAAGAATAGCAAAGAGAGATAAGAAATCCTTCCTCAGTGATCAATGCAAAGAAACAGAGGAAAACAATAGAATGGGAAAGACTAGAGGTATCTTCAAGAAAATTTGATATACCAAGGGAACAATTTCATGCAAAGATGGGCACAATAAAGTATGGAAATGGTATGGACCTAACAGAAGCAGAAGATACTATGAACAGGTGGTAAGAATACACAGAAGAACTATACAAAAAAAGATCTTCATGACCCAGATAACCATGATGGTGTGATCATTAACCTAGAGCCAGACATCCTGGAATGCAAAATCAAGTGGGCCTTAGAAAACATCACTACAAACAAAGCTAGTGGAGATCATGGAATTCCAGTTGAGTGATTTCAAATCCTAAATGATGATGCTGTTAAAGTGCTACACTCAGAATGCCAGCAAATTTGGAAAATTCAGCAGTGGCCACAGGACAAGAAAAGGTCAGTTTTCATTTCAATCCCAAAGAAAGGAAATACTAAAGAATGCCCAAACTACTGCACAATTACACTCATCTCACACGCTAGCAAAGTAATGCTCAAAATTCTCCAAGCCAGGCTTCAACAATATGTAAATCGTGAACTTCCAGATGTTCAAGCTGGATTTATAAAAGGCAGAGGAACCAGAGATCAATATGCCAACATCCGCTGGATCATCAAAAAAGCAAGTGTTCCACAAAAACATATACTTCTGCTTTATTGACTATGCCAAAGCCTTTGACTTTGTGGATCACAACAAACTATGGAATTTTCATAGAGATATGGGACTATCAGACTGCCTTAACTGCCTCCTGAGAAATCTGTATGCTGGTCAAGAAGCAACAGTTAGAACTGGATGGAACAATGGACTGGTTCCAAACTGGGAAAGAAGTAGGTCAAGGCTGTAGATTGTCACCCTGCTTTTTTAACTTATGTGCAGAGTACATCATGTGAAATGCTGGGATGGATGAAGCACCAGCTGCAATCAAGACTGACAGGAGAAATATCAATAACATCAGATATGCAGATGACACCACCCTTATGGTAGAAAGTGAAGAAGAACTAAAGAGGCTCTTGATAAAAGTGAAAGAGGAGAGTGAAAAAGTTGGCTTAAAACTCAACATTCAGAAAACTAAGATCATGGCACCCAGTCCCATCACTTCCTGGCAAACAGATGGTAAAACAATGGAAACAGTGACAGACTTTATTTTTTTGAGTGCTCAAATCACTGCAGATGGTGACTGCAGCCATGAAAATAAAAGACACTTGCTCCTTGGAAGGAAAGCTATGACCAACCTAGACAGCACATTAAAAAGCAGAGACATCACTTTGCCAACAAAGGTTTGTCTAGTCACAGCAATGGTGTTTCCAGCAGTTATGTATGGATGTGAGAGCTGGACTATAAAGAAAGCTGAGTGCCAAAGAATTGATGTTTTTGAGCTGTGGTGTTGGAGAAGACTCTTGAGAGTCCCTTGGACAGCAAGGATATCAAACCTGTCAATCCTAAAGGAAGACAATCCTGAATAGTCATTGGAAGGACTGGTGCTAAAG